TAATAAGCTCTCCATCTACGAAAGAGAAACTAATTTGTTTTTCACTAGTGACATCCTACACGTTTTCATAACTATACAATGCAGAAAAGTAATTAAATTAGCAATGTACATGATGTTTCTCTTCTGCACAATGGTGGGTGCAGAAAGCAAGTTAGCAAGACCTCCCAAGTTTTGTTACAATGACGGCATGCTCTAAAATACTATGAACATCAAGGATTTCATTCCTTAGAGCATGTCTACTTTTCTTTAGAATATACACATGGTAAATACGCAGGAGTTCCCAGAATCCTCAAAACAATATTCCAAGGCAAGGACAGCACCGAACAGGTGCCTAAGTACCTTTACCAGGTTCCAGTCCAGCTGTGTTCTGCACAGTCACGGAACTGAACTGCAGTGTCTAAGGATTCCCATTACACCACTGTCCTCACCTCTTTGAACAAAATCATTTTTTGTCCCTTCAAGGAAACTGCTCTTCAGTAATGAGATAAATAACATAAAGAAATACTCAGATTTAATAAAACCATCGAGAGTACCAATCAAAATGCCACAGGATCCTTGAAGATAGAAATCTCATGAGGGCAGAATTTAAAACAGAACACTTGCCCGTTTGAAAACCTGCCTCTGAAACCCGAGGGCCCTCTCGGGTTGGTTTCCAATATGACAACGTTCACAACACAGACTGGAGCTGAAGTCTGGGCTCTGACAGAACACTGCAGCCAGCAGTGAAAGGTCTCACTCAGGCGACTGGAGCTGCAGTGGCGGGGCAAGATTTATTGTCTTGTATGTATTGTATTGTCTCTAGAACGTCCCTCTCATCACCCGCCTTTAGATGCAAACAATATCAAGGCTGCCATTTCTGGAAGCAATCTTGTCCCCATTTTGTACTGCTGCGAGGCTGACATACAGGAATCCTCCAGCTCTCAAAGTACATACAGATCACTTTCAAAATGAGCAGCTATTCTTGCTACTTACAAATGGCTTTTAGAATGACATGTCTTCTCGGCTCCCTGTTCCTTCCCGACTGATGCCACATAAGAGTGCCGCCCTTTTTCTGTCTGTTCCTCAAAGACAGAGAAATCTGCAATTGACTTACAGTGATGATTAGAGGTACTGAAACATCTGGCTCATGGTTACCCCGAGTCTCTACATAGTTACTCCAGAATTTCTAAAACACCCTTGTTTTCACATTTTAACATCCCTGAAGGACGTGTCATGAAATCAACAGTGCATCTTAGCTTGACAACAGATTTTTGCTTAGCAAGACTTAACAATCTTAAAGTTGACATTTGTAAGTAGAGCTAAGTTTCATTTGACATGTTTATTATACAGTGGATGCTTCTATGCAAATGAGTAAGACGACTGGTGAGACAACAGGGAGCAGTGGTGACTGCAGCAACACACAGCTGCTCTTCTTAGAGCCACACCTCAGACGCACTAACTGCCAGGTGAGAATGAAATTATATTTTTGCCATCTTCCATGAAGCTTTACATTACTATGGAGACTACATAAAGCAGAACTCCTGGTCAATTCTGGTCTAGAAGTCATCACTTTATAACCTCTGACATTTATCTCACTTTAACCTGGCAATGTAACTATGAATACCTTTCAAGTTACTTAAAAACAAAATACTTATTAAAGAAAAAAACAAAGGAGGATGTCAAAATACCACCCTAGATCAGCCTGGCCTTCATTTCTATGTCATCTCTCTCATTCTAATCACCCTCAAAACTTTTAAATGACACATCTAGTAAGAAAGTTGTCACCCACTAGAAAACCTTTCAGAAAAGGATACTTTTCTAAGATGTTGCAATAAAAGATTTCAGGTTAACAGTGACATTCACAAGTAAACTTTGCCAAAATGAGCTACAGATTGCCAAAAATAAATAAATAAAACAAAAAGCCAAAAAAAAAAAAAACTGCCAAGAAGTCAGCCAAATGCAGAAACTAGTCCAAACTGTTCTTATTTCAAACCAAATCTGATCCTGGGCCCTGAATCAGAAGTTTTGTTAGTTTGCTAATCCCTCCAACATCAAAAGTCCTCCCTTCATCTGATGGAGATTTCAAATGTGGTTACCTAAACTGACCTGATTTAACTTAGGGCAAATATGAATTATAACGCACCAGGGGCAGAAACACACAGCAAAAACCAAACCACTCATGTACCACACAAGCTGAGCATTTAAACCCTACAGACTGGAGAGACATAGGAACATCACCCTCAGCCTGGCACCCCGCTACTTTCCAGGTTAATGCAATGCTCTGTTATCAGCAGTACTTGGAGGTACTGTCTTTGGGAGGTGTGATATAACTTAGGGTACTCCCAACATACAGTACTTCCTGTCAACCTCCAGTGAAAACACAAATAAACTTACTTTTGAGAGATCTGCTGGGTGCATATGCCTATGTTGCTCGGAGGTTTATATGATGATGCTTCGATATAGCAGGCAAAACTATGTGCCACGTTCTGTGGCACCCCAAACATGTAAATTGAAGTGCACCCCTATATCACATTCCTTAGAAAAATCACGCGGCTGTTTCACTGGGCACACTAATTTAAGAGCCTGCTAAAATCTTCCATTTGTTTTCTTACACAGACTAATTAAGGGAGACAAAATAAGCTGAGCAAATTCAACAATTTGTTGTTAATATTCTATGAAGGCAGCCCCAGCCTAACAGTATAAAACCTCCATTAAAAGGCAAGTGCTACAGAAACGTGAAGTCATCCAAACAGCCCTGCCTTATTTTCTCACTGGCAGAAGAAGCGAGAGAAGAAAGACAGATGCCGTTTGTCATTTGTAACATGTACGAGGAACTAAAATCATACCGGCAGCATAGCAATCACTCAATAAAAGGTCCTCAGTCCTCCAACTCTCCCCTTGATCACCCCAAATACCCCCTGCACAACCTGCAGGGGTGGTGGGCCCAGTCGTAGACAAACAGAGACACCCCAGTTCTGTTCACTGACTACTGTCACTTTCACACTGGACACCAGGTAAGAGCTGTATGAGCCCAGCCTAGACAGGGGTGAAGGTGTACTCTGCACCCCCAATGAGTCTCACTGGCTGCAAATGTAAACAAGGCACAAACAGCAGGCATGTGACTTAGGGACCCAGATGCATTTCACAAAATACTCATAAATACAGGAACAAAAATAAGAGTGAGGGGACTTTTAAAAATAATCAAGTGATTTAAAAAAAAAAAGACCTCCACTGAAATGCGCTGTGTTCATCATCCACCAGGATACCTCAAGTCCTTTGTTCAGGAATGTCTGTATCTCAGCAAGCTGCAAAGCTCACCACCTGTCCCTCACCGCTAGGAATCCAATGGACAGGCAGATAATAAGAGAAAGCTCTTGAAAGAGAAGTCAGGGAGAGAAGAACCCTCTGGGTAGGTGAAATAGTGCCACTTCCTTTCACCAACCCTCAGGTAAATGCAAGGAAATAGGGGAGGGTCATTTCATACAAGCACAGAACGGTTAAAAAAAAAAACCGAAAAGGCAAATCACACATTATTTGCATTGTGATCATTCTTTGATAACACACATACTATATTAAGCTTTACCTAGCGTTTAGAAAACCAAAAGTCACACTTCCCAAAACACACAACACACTTTCGGAATCCCAAGATACCTACCTAGAGTCCATTACAATTAGGACACACGGACGGACCCACACACACACACACACACACACACACACACACACCAGAGTAGGAAAGCAGATAAGAGCCTGAACAGGGGCTCGTCTCAGATAACAGCCTCTCCATTTACCCCAGCCCCAGCCCCAGAGAAAGAGGGACCTCAGAAAAGAAAGGAGAGGAAGAAAGATACATCGAGAAAAGCCTGCGTTTCCAGGCATCAACTTTTCATGAAATGCACAACCAGGATAGGAAATACCTCCCTGCTGAGTAATGCTTCAAGGGTTGTAAATTCACCTCTCGAAAGGGGAGCCAAACCTGAGCGCGCGCCCTGCCAGATGGCAAACCCCTCCTACCTACTCCATCCAGCCTGCCTGTCAAGCCGCACCAGCGACAGCCTCCCACCCCCCTTTTTGGCCGAGCCAGACACCAATGAGAGCGAAGCAAGGCTGGTAGAGAGAGGGCTAGGCAGTGATTTAGCAGGATCGTTTCAAAGGGGGGCAGTGGGAAGCGGCGAGGAGAGACAGGGCAAAAACAAAGCCCTTTCCAGACAAACCCACAGCTTGGGGGCGTGGCTTATCTAATTTGCATCATTAATGAAAGGATCGATTGGGCTTTCGTCTTTCCAACCCACCCCGGAGGTGCTGGGCTTTGAAGCCTTGGAAGACGAAAAATAAATATATGGCAGGGTTGCCAGCTTCCAAGTTTGCACAGCAGCACCTGCCACCATCCCGGACCTTCTCCCACCAAAAAAGACCCCGGACCCAACACTCCTGGCTTCACTCTGCAAGGCACACACCCAGGCGGTTCACCCACTCCCACCGTGACAAGCTCACACACGCGTCAGAGCACTTGCTGACACCATGTTAGAAAGTTCCAGGGGGAGCCCATTCAGGGTCCTCCGCGGCTCCAGGCTCCCCCGCGCGGCGCGGGTCTCCAGCCGCCACCCAGACGTGACATGCATTATGGACTCCGGGCTGCAGGGGCGAGAGGCGGAAAGTTGCCCAAACGCCCGGGGAGACGCGGCTTGGAAAGGAGAGGCGCACGGCAGCGGAGAAACACTCGTGCCCTCCTCCCTCCCCAAAGACGGGGAGCAGCCCAGCGAACCCCCGGCCCCAAGGGCGTCTCGCCGCTTTATTTACAAACAATGCGCTCCACCGCGGCCGGGCGCTGGGGGTTCAGGCGTGCGGCGGAAGGGCCCGACTCCCCCACACCGCGCTCCCGCCCCACTCTCCCGCCTCTGGGGTTCCCCAGCAGGCGCAGGGGAAGCGCCACCCCAGGTGTCGCCCCAGTCCCCACCCCCCCGAAGGCGCGGGGCAGGAACTCCCCGGGGAGTCCCGGGTGGGAAGGGGGCGCTGCTCACCTCGTCCTCCGAAAGTCCGTAGACCGGCTCCCCCAGGCCGGTCGCCATGGAGCCGGCGCCGGAGCCCCGCGCGGGGTCGCGGACGCTCGCGGGCCAC